CTCATTTTTTATTGAAAAAAAGACCATTAATCAAAAGCTTTTTCTTACACTCTCTTCTTTATCTCAAACCACTTAGATGCTTCAATTTCACTCTCCTCCTTTATTTACCACACATCAAGAGGTAGTCCTTCTTCTGGTTATGGCAAACATCTCTACATGCACAAGTGATCCCATTGGATCTGTCTTCTCCAGCAGGTTATCACCTCTATCATCCTCACTTTCTTATTTATGTTCAATCTCTCCTTATACTCTGGCTGCTTCCCTACCACCTCCAAACATGCCCTCATCTCCCATGTGTAATATAAAAAATCACCAATACAATGGCATCAACAACAGCCTCACTTGATCTGTTTATTCTTCTTAGGTATCATTCCTTATCTCTTCCTGTTTTGGGTTTTTTTTTGCTGACCTCTATAATAAGGTTGTCTATTGCAGGTCCCTTGTCTTCTTTATCTCCCCTTAATTCTCTAATTTGGCTTCTAAACTTATACAACTGAATCTGTTCTCTCCAAAGTTGCCGACAATTCATTAACTAGCATATTGAATGGACTCTTCTCAATCCTTATTGATATCTCTGCAGACTTTGACACTGTTGGTGACTTTCTTCTCCTTGATACTCTGTATGTTTTCATGACTCTCACCTCTCCTGGTTCTCCTACCTTCCTGACTGCTCTTTCTCAGTCTCTTTTGCTGAATCTTCATTCACGCCATGCTGCTGAACATTGGTGTTCAACAAGCCTCTCTCTTAGACCCTTTTCTCTTCTCCCTATATAATATTTCGCTCAGTGATCTTATCGGCTGCTAGGGATTATAGATTATCTCTATTCTGATGATTCTCAGAGCTATCCAGGCTCTGATGATTTCTCATCTCACATCTCCACTAACCTGTTGGAGATTTTGAACTGGATGTCCTGTTGGCCTCTTAAATTTAACTTGCCCAAAACTGAACCCATTACCTTTCCCTCAAAACCCTCTTATCTTCTGAATCTCCCTATTATTTTTGAGGGTACAAACATCTTTGTAGTCACCCAGGCTCATAAACTAAATTCCATCCTTTATGCCTACACTCTCTCACACAGCCCCATCCAAACTGTTGTCAAGACCAGTTGATTTTGCCTTTATAACATCTGTTCTATGTGGTCTCTTCTTCACTCTTATACTGCCATCACCCTGGTGCAGGACCTTATCACCTCAAACACTGACTATGACATCAATTTCCTCATTGGTCTCCTGCCAAATGTCTTCCTCCCTTCCAGTTCTTCTTATACTCAGTAATCTTTCTAAAGCACAGGTCTGACCATGTCTCTCTGCTACTCAATAAAATCCAATGGTTCCCTATCACCCCCAGATCAAATATGAAATCTTCTCTTTGTCATTCCATGTACATCATAACATCTCCTTTTTACCTTTCCCATTTTCTTGTACCTTACACCCTCCCCCTTAAAGGTACTCTCTGATTCTATAACATTAGCCTTATGAAAATGATTTTTTTCTCTCTTGTATTTAATAAGTAATTATTGAATCAGTGGTGCTTTTAGGGGTGCTAGGAACCCTGAAATGTAAGGGTACACAGGGGTCTGACTCAAAATAATTTGACCACTCAAACCTTCTTTCAGTCAAAGTAGGAGGGTTATTTGTATAACGAATAAAAGCAGGCAAGATTATAAATTAATCTGTGGTTTGGGAAGAATAGGACTGATACTTACATACAAGGAAAGACAGTGAGAAGACCTAGATAGGAATAAGCACTGGTAAAGTAGCCTGGGGTGGGCCAGGTGCAAACAATGAAAGGAGTGGTCAGAGAGTCACAGTGAAAGGGCAGTTAAAAGAATTATTGAGTATCTAGGTGGGCTGGAATGGACCAGATGCCTCAGGTGAGATGCCAGGAACTGGGTTGTATGAAAAACTTAAGGGACTGGGCTGCTTTCAAACACACGGTCTTTTCCTTTTAGGGATTCAGATCCTATCATCCCATCATTAGGACCAAGTTTTTTACGCTTTTCTGTTTCCTCATCCAGAAATCAACCAGTGAGAGAAATCTTTCTCAAAGACAGTAAAAGAAATTCTAAGTTTAGGATAATGGGTGGATTCCTGCTTATTTTGTTTATTCAGATAGTTCTGGGAAAATGTGGATTCTCCCTATTGTCAGACAGGTGATATGGAAATTGTTAAGTCTCTTTGCCCAAGATCTGGGTGATCCAAGTCATGGACCCTCAAGACCCTCATTGGAATATAACCCATTTTCATTATAATATTCATTTTCTCATTAATTGTTCAGGAACTTGTCACCCTCAGGAACACCAGCTCTCCCAAAGGCATGTAAACTGTGAGTCCACTGCCATAATGGGTCTTTGTTATTTCAGAGTGCCACTGACCTCTTTTTATTAAAAACATCCTAACCTTATTAATAAAATGATTAAAATATCCAGAAACTGTGTGTCTCAAAATTTTTATATATCCCAGTTTATAGCAAACCATGGAGGTACTTTAGAGGAAAAAAGTCAGGTCTGGATTAAAGTCTCCCAAAAATTCTGTCATTTTTGAAGACTCACTGGTGGAATTTTGTCACCAAAAAAGAGCACCATTTCTGAGAAATTGTGAATTTCAGAGATTTTGACTCTCTCCTCAATCTAAAACTTCTGATTCTAATCTTCCTTCAATGATCTCTGGATAAGCATATATGTGTCTATATATCTGTTCTAACTGTAGTTTTGGGGATTTTTTTTTTCACTCTCAACAATAGGAGGTCCCCTCAATACAGGCTTTGGGGAGAAATTGTGATGTGTACATGTAAAATTTTGGAGACAAGCCAAAAATTTTGGGATTGCCACTCAAGTATTTCAGTTCTGCTGTGCAGCAGACATGTTATGACATTTATTACAATTTGAGTTCCATTAAGAACCCAAGATTTCTCACATGAGGTGTAATGTTCAGTCAAAGAGAGCTTTTAGGGGTTCTGTTTAAGAGGGCATAATACTGAAACTGAAACAATTGTGAGAGTCCTCTATGTTTTTGTCTCTACTTTGTCTTCAGGATGTGGCCTGTATTTGCTAGGGGAGAGGAATTGAAAAAGCAGGGTGAAACTTCCCCAAGCTAAGGATAGCTTTAATGTTAAAAAGTTATATTTCTGTCTTTTTTATTGTTAGCCCATAGCTGTACCTGCAAGAGCTGATGAGAGAAAACTATTTTTGATTTTGGGTAAACAAATCACCATCTCAAGGGAAGTTAATAGCTACTGTCAACCATTTACCAAAGGTTTGGTCCAAAGAAACAAACAGAATCAGTTTCTCCCTTAACTGAAAGTTTGCCCTGGAACAAACAGAATGGGGTTCACCTCACCAAAGGTTTGAACAAGGAACAAACAAAAGCAGGCTGTACGTGTGCTATAATGTGCTTATGTCTTCTCATTAAGCCAGAGAATCATGCATGATGGAGCAGAAAATCATTCTGAACATAGAGGTAAACAAGCTGAAGGACTTAAAAAATGATTACTTTTACCAGGGGTTATTCACTTGAACATGGCTAGAAGTTGAAAATACTTTGTTATAAACAACTCATATAATAAGCACTGTTCTTAAATTATATTCTTATACATTTCATCATGACATCTTTTGTTACAATTGTAGTTAATATAGCAATAAATCATCCTCTTCTAGAAAGTATTCTGCTATTAGTCCCTCAATGGACTCTCATCTTCTTAATGAGGGAATGAATAATGCCAAACATAAAAATTGTGTTCTAAGTTTTGGAGTGTATCTGAGTTTCTTAGATATATCAACATCACAGTTGGCTAACCTAAAATTGTAAATTCCACAGTCTAAAATGTTCCAGATTTAGTTTTCCAGTAACTTCTGATGTATTCTTGTATTCTTAATGGACCATAAGCTAATTGAGGTTTGAAATTGTCTCTATTATTTGCATACCAAACACCTTCAGCATTACCTGGCATATAATTTGCATTTAACAAATGCTTCTTTATTAACCATTTGGGTGTTTACATTTGTATTTTGTTATGGAATTCTGATATTGTTTTTACCAATATTAATTGGTACTGATATTAATATATCAAAATTTACAAAACATTGCACAATTAATGGACTTTGTTACTTTCTCATTTATTTAAAATGAATCACCAGATAACATTTGTGGGGCAGATGAGAGTATTTCTTTTTGTAAAAGATATTTTATTTTTTAAATAAATAAGTTTTGTGATTCCTAAAATACATTCAACTTTAGGTATAAACATTTCTAACAACCTTTACTGCAACAAGAATAACATGAAACATATTTCCCCTACATCCTAGCAGTCAAAGTTCATCACTTTTCTAAGCCTAAGTTGCTGGAGTATTATTAATAAAGATAACAATACTTATTAATAAATAATAAATTAATATATTGTATAGTGCCTTAAAGGTGGCAAATCACTTGTCATAGTGTCTCACTTGATCCCCATAAACACCTTATAAACTACCTACAATCATGCTATTAGTAGGAGAGGTCACTGAGAATAAGAAAAGCAATTGTCTTGTCCAGAGTAACTTGATTTTCTGTGGCAATTTCTTATTTTAAACTTATTTTTATTAATCATATTTTAATAATGTATTTGAAAATATTCTTACACATCTATCTTTTTGGAATTGAACTTGTGGATTCATTCTTCCAGCATCAAAGTCAAAATCTCAAAAGAAAAAAAAGGCTTAGGATTGTACTATGGATTTCTAGCATCATATCTATGTTATTTTCAATATTTTGCTAATTTTCCCATCCTGGCTACCAAGCAAAATTACCAAAAAAAAAAATACAAACCATTCTCAGTGTTCCCTATGCTCCCTCCAGCTGAATTATATCAGAATTAAGTCCAACATGCAGGTTGTCCCAATGTTCCCCAAATGAAGCCCCAATCTCTTCAATAAGGTGCTTCAGAAATTTAACAAATCTTTCATTCTCTCCTAGGATATTTCAGCACTGACCATGGTTCTTCTTCCCAAGACTTGGAGAAAATGATGCTTATTTACCTGGTGTTGGGCATTCTTTTCCTTATTCAGACGGGAGTTGGCATTCTTGGGAATTTCTTCCTCCTGGGCCTCTACACCTTCTTTTTTTTCATTGGCCACAGATTGAGGCCCATAGAGTGCATTTTTGCCCACTTAGCCTTGGCCAACTCAAAAATGCTGCTTTCCAGGGGAATCCCTCAGATGATTGTCTGTTTGGGCTTCAAAAATTTCTTGGATCCCATTGGGTGTAAATTTGTTATTTATCTTTATGTTGTGGCCCGGAGTGTTTCTCTCAGCATGACCTGTCTCTTGAGTGGTTTTCAGGTCATCACCATCAGTCCCAGTAACTCCAGGTGTGCAGAACTCAAAATCCAAGCCAAAAAGTATATTATCCCTGCCTGCTTCCTCTGTTGGTGTTTCTACCTGCTGATAAATTTCACTTTGCTTGGGACTATGCATAACTCAAGGTATCTGACTAATTATACAAAGAAGTGGCACCTAGGATATTGTTCGATTTTAACTCCTTCATCTTTTAATGCTGCACTTTTTGCAATGTTTGTTTCTATTCCTGATGTTATATGTATGGGATTCATGATCTGGGCCAGTACCTCCTTAATGCTTCTCCTGCATAGACACCATCAGCAAGTCAAACATATTCACAGTTCTCATCTCTCTCCCAGAAATTTCCCTGAGAAAAGAGCCACCCTTACCGTCCTCCTACTAGTGAGCACATACGTCTCCATTTATTCCATTAATTCTGGCTTGTCATTTTACCTCTTCAAAATTGACAAACATGAGCCCTGGTTCATGCCCACCTTAGACTTCCTTGCAGCATGTTTCCCAGCCATCAGCCCTTTTGTGCTGATCTTTTCTGACTCCCATATCCTCAAATATTGGTATGCTCTATGGCATAGGAGACATTGCCACACTATCCTCAACTTACCCACTCCCCGCATTCTGCCCTAACACTATGACAAACAAGTATCTTTCATAACCTGACGGGAGAGAGGCAAGAACAGTGGAATCTAAGGATTGTAGGAACTAATGCTAGAAAGAACCTCTGTGATCATGTATTCAAACTCTTTCCTCTTTTAAAACACAATAGTCATGTTCAGATATTGCATGTCCTGGTTTTGGTAATACAGATTACAAGTGACATGGTCATTTCTTAAACTAATATGTCATGATTTTAAATCCACTTTTCCTTCCATTAGACCAATCATGTAAAACTCAAATAGAAACAGAGGCCACTGAGCCATACATAAGGATCACAGTAAGTTGCACAATGACTTTGTTATGAAATGTAATATTGTGTTTTAGAAGCACCTCATGACTCAATGGATACATCACTGGACCTGGAGTCAGAAGATCTGAGTTCAAATCCAGCCTCAAATACTTCCTAGCTATGTGACCCTGGGCAAGTCACTTAACCTCTGATTGCCTGACAAAATAGATCCACTGGAGAAGCAAATGAAAATCACTCCAGTATCTTTGCCATGAAAACCAAAAATTGAGTCATGAAAGGACAGATACCCCCTGAAATGACTGCAAAAAGGCCCAACATTGTCTGGGTTTTATTGTATTTTTATTAGTTTTGTTAATTTTTTTCCAAATTACATTTTAATCCAGTACATCACAATAAGAAGTGTCATGGACCACAATGTGGTCCCCTGGCAGTGTGTTTGACACCTCTGAATTGGATCATATCAGTCCTCCTGTTGAAATGGACACCATTTCTCATGTCTTACCCCTCATCTGCAGTTCTGTAAGTCAAAAAGTTCTCCAATTGTTTTTTTTAAGGAAATATGGCATAGAAAATAAGAAACTGAACTTAAAAATAGAAGGCTTGGGATCTAACCCTGTCTCTGTCATTTGGGAGCACCGTAACATTTTTGAAGTTGTGAACTTACCTGAGTCTCAGTTTTCTTGCTTGTATAATGGTGCTCTTAATGTCTTTGCAAATGTCTTTGCAAGGTTATTTTGAGGCCAAAAGTTCCTCATGTAAAAAAAAAACTTTGAAAAATTGAAAAAACTAAGTAGATATTTTAATCATTATTATAAATAATAATTATTATTACTTTACCTGCTCTTCTATCTTCAGTTTCTCTTAGACTCACCTTTAGTCTGTTATAATTTTAGCCCTATGTCATGGATTAGCAAAAATCATGCTATCCAGTTTCTGACAGAGAAAAGTTAAACTCCAAATGCAAAATTATATAATATAGATAGATAGATGTATATAAAGATAGATTTAGTTAGATATGTAAGTCTTGATATATGCTTATATATGTATATGTTAAATATGCATCTACATAATGTATACATACTATATGTGAGTATGAAGATTAAAGTATTTATCTAGATCCATCTATTATGAGCAAATTAAAATTAATATTACCTCTGATTTCTTCTGTATCAGTATCTAATGTATTGATTCTATAGTGTAACTGATTTTATTCCATGTTAATTTTATAATTGGGTCTGCATCCACCTGGCTTGAGTTAAGCTCAGGAATCTGAGCCAATTCAAAGACAGCTTAGTTTAAAAGAAAAATTGTTATCTCTCATTCCAGTATCCTCTAAGATATTTCATAAATATCTGTATACCATCCCCAAAAGTCATGTCATCTGTCCTTTCCTGTTTTTGTGTACTTAAGGGAGTTTTTATTCTCTTCCACAGAGACAGCAAATCTGTTAGTTGTGATCCCCTAGTAAAGACCACAAGGTATAGATGGGCCCCATAAAACAATTAACATCCTTCAGTTGGTAGGGAGGGGCATGATTAGCCTTATGTGACTACACCAACTTCCTCATTCCAGTCAACTGTAATATTCCCATGCCATCCCTAAAAACTATAAATGCTTTTTTCCACATCTATCCAGAACACTTCTTTGTTAGATGTTAATGAAGAGAGACCCTTCTTTCTTTGAGGGTCACCAGCTTTGTTGAGGGTTCCAGAGTGACTTAGTTTATTAATAGTTATAAATGTCATGGTTAATAAGGTGATCCAGCACAGGGGGCTGTACCTAAGTCTACCTTTATTACATGTACTTGTCCCACTGTCTTCACATCAATCTTTACATATTTATCTCTAATATCTAGCTATCATGTATTTAAATTGGTAACGTAGGAAATATTTTTGAATTAGTTTAAATACTTTTATGAATCTTTTTAATGTGGTAAAGAAACAAAAATATAATTTTTAATCAAAAAGAAAAAAATCATATTAACATAAGAATATTAAAATAGGAGTACAGTTGAGAGTGGTCCTGGTTTCATGTGCCCTTGAGTTTCAGTAAGGTATCCAGATAATGAGATTATAAATGGTTGGGAGGAGGTATCACAATGGACTACACTTACTCATTTGTACTTTACTCAGACTAATAGTATAAATGAATGAAATGCTACAGAATTCTCAAGTTGTTCCTAGCTATGATATATATTATTTTATTTTAAAATTATGGGATTTTACCTTAGAAATGTTATATATAAAAACTTTAAGAGACATAGTTTCTGGGGAATTAATCATTTTGTTAATAATCAAGTAATGAAAGTGATCAGTGGCACTCTTGCATGCTAAAGACCTCTCCCAGAACCCACTCAGCACTTTTGTGCCATCGTAAGAGTGAGTGTTACTAAAGGAGGCAATCAGCTCTTATTGGTTAACAATTAATGAGAAGAATGAATATTGTAATGAGAAGTGGGCTTATTCTAATGGGGGGGCAGTCACTTTGATCACTCAGTCATGGGCAAAGACACTTATCTCTTATCCAGAATACCTAGGGCAATCTAGACAAAGTTTCCACCACCACCCCTGCCCCAAACCTACCAGAATGGAACACAATGGGCCACAAGTCACCTTAGATTAAATTCTTTGTGGGGTTTTCCAGTTGAGTGAGGCAACAATTCCACCTAGGTAAGATAGTTGAGGTGGGGTAAATTTTGGGGGAAAGTCAAGGACCACCTCTAATAATATATTATTTAATAATCATTTCTCTCAGAAATTGAGGAGATAATCCTGAAAAGCTGGCAGAATGATAACTAATCTAGGCAGTTATTCCCTTGACCCCCACAGATAACATTAAAGGCATCTTGCCCCATAAAATTGTGAAGTAAAGGATTTTAGGAAGAGGAATATTTAAAGAATTCTCCTCAACATAAGCACTAGAGGACAGATAACTGAAGGTGAAATCAACAACATGGCGATCATGGTGCTCCCACCTCCACCCACCCCTTCAGAAATGCCCTGCATAAACCTTGAAAAGTCCACCATAGCTGTAAATGCAATCACTTTAGGATTTCAGGCATCTATGTTTAAAATATTTATTATCATTTTTTGTTTGTTTGTTTGTTTTTGGTTTTTAGGCAATTGGGGTTAAGTGACTTGCCCAGGGTCACACAGCTAGTGTCAAGTGTATGCTCTGAAGTATGATTTGAATTCAGGTCTTCCTGACTTCAGGGCCAGTGATCTATTCACTGCACTATCTAGCCACCCCAAAATGCTCTCTTTGGGATTTTTTTAATTCGTTTTTCTTTTTCTTTTTTTTGGCTAGGCAATGGGGTTCAGTGACTTGCCCAGTGTCACATAGCTAGTAAGTGTTGAGTGTCAGAGGCTGGATTTGAACTCAGGTTCTCCTGACTACAAGGCTGGAGCTCTATCTACTGTGCACCTAGCTGCCCCAATATTTATTATCATTATGAAAGCTATTTGTAGCTTCACTAGCAGACCCAAGGACAGGACACAGGCTTTCATTAAAATCCTCTCCTGCACCCAGTTTTCTGCTCCTTCTTTCCAGTGGTGTAGAGACCATGGTTTCAGATCACAGAAGTTTTCTTGGGCCTCAATAGCCAGGTCAGCTAAAGCCTTCAGGAGCAAAAACCTGCTGGGGTCTGAATCCTTACTAGCTATATGCTCTTGAACAAATTATTTGCCCTCTGTTTGCCCCAGTTTCAATTGTTAAGTGAGAATAATAAGTGTTTCCCCTTACAATGCTGTTTTTAGTATCAAAGGAGAAAATGTTTTAAAGAATTATCTGAAACACAATATTCTCTATATAAATGCTAGCTGTTACTGGTATAGGTAACATTTTTGTTATTTCTATTATTCTTATGGTTACTAATGCATAGCTCTACCAACAATGCACTGATGTTCTTGCCTTTATACAAACATTCCAACTTTAACTATCTTAAAACATGTTATTTTTACTTGACCATTTTTCTCTGTGCTCTGTCTTAGCTGTGTGATTATTCACATACTTTATTATTGTTTCTATGGTTCTTTTCTTTAACCCACTTCTTTTTAAGGAAATGTTAAGTACCCAAATTTTCATTTTTATCTTTTGTGTTATTTATATTATTATGATATAGTATGTATAGTGTACATTTCATATATATCTCCTTTATGTCTATTCATAATTTCTTTGTGCCCTAGATTGAAATGAAAATAAATTGTGTCAGAACATTTTTGTACATATTTTTCTTTTTCCTAGAGATTCCTCTTTCATTCTGTACTATTCCCATTAACATTTGGGTAATTTTTAAAAAAACAATTATAAACAAATCACAGGTCGCATTTTATAGAAGAGGCAACTGACACATCACAAAACTTTCTTATATAAATGTAACCTATGGCCCAAAGGGCCTTTTTTAACAAGACTTTTCTCATTGGCGGAGATTGGCTACCAAGCACCATGCCTGTGTGAAGAAAGAAGTTAACAACAACTAGAGAGAAGGGAAATGCAGGGTTATTTTTGCTTTTACCTGGGAGAGAAAAATCATGTTTCAAACTCTCTTCAGACACTTGAAGAGACAAAGTGACTGGGAGGACACCAACATGTAGAAGAGCTGACACCTTGATCATATTTCCATGTCCTTTGGGAAAGATCTAAGACTCCCTCTCCCTATCTTGGTTGTACTGAGTTAATTTGCTTTCAGTGAGACAGATCATTCACTCTGTATCATTTGATA